AGGGGAGTCCTGGTCCCCACCAAGGTTCCAATCAAGTCTGGGAGGTAGGTCTTTATTTCCAAGGTGGTAGTGAGAATGATACTGCAAAACAAACAGACGAGGCCTATTTCTAGGAAAGAAAATAATTTAAAAATTACAGGAATAAGTAATTTAAAAAACCCAAGAGCTCCCAGAGATTATAGTTTGTTCTCGCTCTTAGATTCAATGTTCCCTTGATGCCCCCTAGGTGGGGAATGAAATCATGGGCTCTTTTGCTGTGCTTTCTTCCCCAGTTGTGTTCTCTTGGTGCATTTGCTGAGGTCTGAGTCCCTGGCTGGGGCAGCAGCCTCTAAGGACCAGTCTCTCCCTAACAAGGTGGCTAGGGGGCCTGCTTCTCTCCATGGTGGGAACCTGTCTGTGTCTCTGCTCTTGGCCAGTTGGGCATGGCCACGCTACTTGCTTGGCTGACTCAGTGTTTTCTGGGATGGGTCATACCCCTTTCTCTTTATTTACTCCACCTGAGGGTTCCCAGAATAAGAACTGTTATTGCTGGTGCGTACATATGCAGAAGTGCTATGTTCAGTCATCAGATACAGTGGGAGCTACTACTACCAAGCACAAAAGCCACATCCAAAGTACCTAGCAAGTAGTTTGCAGAGTTGTTATTTGAACCTAGTGTGTCTTTCTTAAAGCTGGGCTGCCCTCTGTGCCTGTATAAAACCTTTGTGCTAAGCATTGGCTTCTAAAGAGGAAAAAGTGCTGTGATTCTTCTTTTGGGAGCTTTCATATCTGCTCTTGACCTTGGCAGATGAAAGCCCCAAATCCACTCTGTCAAGGCAGGTGCTCTAGGGGCCCAAACTTTGCCATTTCCTGTTGTGACTCACCACTGTCCTGGGAGGGTCCAAGTAGCCATGGGGCTGGACCATGGTCACACAGCTGGAGAGGAGCTGGCACATCCTGAGGGTGTTTCTGCCACCCCATACAGCCTCTGTAATATCAAAAACTGGGAATATTTGTGATCCTGCTTGGCAGTGAGATTTTTTTGGGGGATGGATAAGAATGGAGTTTGCAGTTTGCTGCAAAGGTAGCATACCCTAACTTGATACATCTGTTTTCTGTTACTGGCCTGTTGCTGCATAATAAACCACCCTGAATCTCAGTGACCGGAGCCAGTTAGCACTTACTAGCTCATGAGTCTGTGGCTGGCAGTTTAGGCCTGGTTCGGCTGGGTGGTTCTTCCGTTCTCAGCTGAGCTCACTCTTGCATCTGTGATCAGCTTCTGGGTTGGCTCAGTGACCTAGGATTTTGAGCACACCCAGATTTATGTAGAGAACCCTAGGATGTAGACTCCTGGGGTTTCCCTGGCTTCAGCTGGGATGCCGCATCTCTGTTCCATCCTTTGTTTTCCAGCAACCTGGATGTGATTGGGCGGGTGCCAGGACAGCAGGTATGCATGGCTGTTAAAGTCTAGGCTGGGGCTGAAACCACACCACCATCATTCTGATGACCAATTCAAGTTACAGGGCCTGCCCACATTGGAGAGGGGGGAAAACAGACTCTACCTCTTGATGGAAGGAGCTGCAAAGTCAAGTTGAAAAGGTCCTGGATGCAGGAAGGATGAATTGTGGCTACTTTGTACCATACACCTTGAGGTGCTTTCTATGCCTGGTCTTACACCTTACAAGAGCCCTTATTAGGAACATTTAAAACCTCTTGATTTACAGAAGAAGGTCAAAATTCAGAATGATTGAGAAACTTGTCCGAGGTCATACAGCTCTTCAGTGGTAGAGGTAGAATTTGAACCCCGTCTTAACACTGTACTTCTTATAGTTTACTGCCTTGAATAACTTGCCCTCAAAGCTTAAAATTCAGGTATCACCCTTAAAATCTGCATCCACTGCTTTAGCACTTGGGACCTCAGTTTTCCCAAACATAAAAAGAGATGTCGGTGATCTTTCAGTCCATGCCTCTGAATAGCAGGCCTCACCCTAGAGCTGTCTTCACTCTGGGACCACAGGGCACAGTGTGGTCAGAGGGGCCTTCTCTCTGTTTTTCCTGCTCAAGTTTTTCCTGTTCCTTGCCCAGGATGGGGCGTGTATGCGGACTCCTGGGGTTTCTCTGCGATGTGGTGGACACAATGATTGAATTTGACTCATGTAACTGAAATGTGGGTCCTTGGGGGGAGCTTTGGCTTTGGGATCAAATGCATGAAAAGGAACCTAATGGGCTTAAGATTTTAAATCCCCAGTTGCTGTCCTAGATCTGGCTGTAATTTTGCCCTGTGGAAGCTCTACTATGGCATATGTGGGGAGGGAGGGAGGTGCTTTTGAGATGCTCTTGGTTCCCAGCCTTCCCCAGGGACACCGCTGTGGCTCAGCCCTCCTGTGCGCCCTGCTTTCCAGGGACTTGACCTGCCCTTTGCTTTCAGGGTGTGAGGGAGGGCAGCCAGTTGGAGCTGTTTAAGTCAGCGTGACCACACGCAGGTCATTCATGGAGGTGCTTGTCTAAGAAAACAGAAGGGCATCTCAGTGATCACAGTAAGAGGGACTGGAGAGACTGGGAGGACCAGGCCCTTGGACCTGGACACGTGCATTCAAATCCCACCACGTCCGAGTAACGTGCACACTTGGTGCTTCCTGCTGGGCTTGCCTGGATGAGGAGATCAGACAACCTATGAGCATAACTGCTGGCAGGTGATGGGCACATTTCCAAATAGTTGTCTGAGCTGCTCATTAAGAGAGGTGAACCTCTGTGCAACACTATGCTCCAGACAGGTGGCTGAATAGCAAGGAGAAGGTGAAAGCCTCCTTTCTGTTCCAAACCTGTCTGTCCATTGGTGTGATGGAACTTCCAAATCCAAGTTGTAAGATGGGAGCCACCCACAGAGCCTCACAGGGGGCTTTTTCAAGCAAAGCCACAGTGTGAGGGCTGGCCCAGGGCATGGGAGCGGCATTTCACTCCTCTCTGGCTGAGCTGGGGCAGGCAGAGTAGGGGAGTTGTTGCTGAACTTTTGGAGGGATGCGTGCTGCTGCTCGGCCGTTACCACACTTTATGAGCTTGGGCGAGTGCCATGACCTTCTCTGGCCACCCATGATGGGGATCCTCCCACCAGGCTGCTGTGCCGATTAAACCCGAGTCTGTCCAGCAGGAGCACGGCTCACCCCCTGCATATCCTACTTCCCTTTATGAGCCAGTTGTCCATGTAATTGGAAACCCAGAGTCTGAAAGAGAGGACTCTAACATGTCTTTAAGGTTGATGTGCGACTTTATGTGGGGATGGCCAGGAAGAGCTTCCTTCTCCAGGGTCTCCTGCCTTACTGGCTCCAAGTGCATGTGGCTACTGCCTTTCGTGTGGGTGTTTCCATGGCACATCAGCCAGAGAGCTTGTGAAAATACATGTTCTGATTTAGTGGCCTGGACACAGGGCCTGAGATTTGTCTTTTGATTGGGTTCGCAGGAGGACTCCATGCTGCTGGTCTCAGGACCACCCCTGAAGTAGCTGGCAAAGGCCAGACACGGGTCTGATGAATTATAGATGGCAGCCTGTTGGTGGGGATGCTCAGGCCTTAACTATGGTAACTGTAGCGAGCAGAGGAAACAGCCTTATCACCTTGTCCGGAATGCCAGGGGAGATTTTGGAGGATGTTGGCAGTGGGTGGGGCCTCTCTGTAACTCAGAATAACGAGGGGAAAACAGCAGATGGCATCTTTTCAGTGGCTTGCCCTGAATTCCGGGCCATTATACTCTATCTTCTGGGATCAACCTGGCTCATAGCCAGCTGAATGAACTTCAGAAGAGACCAGCTCATCAGCCGGCCTGAAGCAGCAGTCTTGCTGGCTGGTGGCCTAGGTAAAGAGCCGCGCCAGGCTGTGGAGGAAGCCGCGATGTTCCGTAAACACAGAGACACAGCTCAGCCCTCCAGCACGCCGGCCTGCCAGTGTCCTGCACACGTGTGTGCACTGGCCCTCATCTCTTGCTTCATTCCCATGACATGGGATTTGGGGAAGACTTCATCTGGTCAGCCGATGAAGTGTTTGAACCGCGGGGTTCTTATTAGCTTAATCAGCCATGGTTCTTAGAACCACTGAGTAGTTTGGGTTTGGAAGGAAAAACCAAGGTCCCTCTCCCTTTGAAATTTTGATAAAAGTTTTGGCCTCTCTTGGTTTCAGCTTTAGAATGAGAGAACAGTGCCTGAGGTTTCAGGCCACCAGGGCCCCTTTCTGCTTATTACTTGTGAATCTGGGTCTGTAAACTTGGAGGGGTGGCATCTCGGAATATCCAGGTTTCTGATGCTGACTTGGCGAGTGAAATAGCAAATACTTCGTTGATTCTTGCAGCCTAGTCCCTTCGTTCATGTATGATGACTTCTCCCCCTTGTTTGTTTCTTGTTACTTTTATAACATTGATTGCAAGTGGCCTTTACTCACCATGCTGATGTAAATTTGGAGTTGGTGGGCATTTTTGGACCCAGCCCTATCCCACTGGGGTTTTTGAGTGGAGAAGGCATTTTGTGCTCCCCAGCTCTTGCGGTCTGGCGCATGGGGATGCTGTGTGTGTGTGTGTGTTTAGATATGTCAAACTGCAAATCCTTCTCACCTGTGAAAACATGACTAGGGTGAGAGAGAGCAACCCTTGGCTTGCCCTGGTGGCTCTGAAGCTCAACCCCAGAAGCCAAGGGGAACTTAATCTCCTAACAGGGTTTTCTTCTCGCTGGAGTCTCCTGTGTGTCATTGTGCATTGGAATCAGAGCAAGCAGGTGCGGTCAAGCTGCCCACATGTGGGTGACAGGTGGCATGGTCTGTTGGGACAGGTGGCACCAAGTTTTCCCAAGGGCTGTGGGTTCCGGTCCTGCTTCTACTTGAGGGGGACTCCCATCCTCCCAACCCCCCAGCACAGTGTAATGCTGGCTACGGTTTCTCAGTGTGCATTCAGACAGCTACCTGTGGGTGGGTGAGGTTTTAACCAACAGCTGCATATGTTCTGGTGGGTCGTGACAGAATGTCCTTTCTTCTGACGTGCAGGGTTCTTGTGGGTGCGCCCAAGGCAGATTCCAAGTACAGCACTTCAGTGAAGTCCCCTGGGGCTGTGTTTAAGTGCCGCGTCCACACCAACCCTGACCGGAGATGCACCGAACTGGACATGGCTCGAGGTGGGTGGACGCCATTGCCAAGGTGGTGCTGAATCCTCACTGTCCTGTTTTTCCCTGGGTGACCTGGTTGTTCATCCACTCTTCCTCTCACTCAGCCACCTGCCCATCCCTTCATTATGTTATTGCTTACTTATTTTTACTAAATACTGGGATATGCTGGTGAACAAAACAAAGGTCATGCCACCCTGGGCCTTACAAATGAGTGGACAAAAGAGGCATTAAAGTAAATGAGTGAGCAAGGGACCAGGAAAAAAAAAAGATTATAATAAAGAAAAATGAAAAGCAATGAAAAAGCAATGAACAACGATACACCAGAGAAATTTTACGGGAGTGGAGAGGGGAATAGGGTCAAAACTGAGGTGGGGTGGGAAGACTGCATGGGACTATGGTGATGGCATGTGGGTGAATTGGTGGTGGGAAGTCCATGGGAATTACAACCGAGATGGAAAAATGCACAAAATGAAGACTGATGTAAAAATATAAATTGATTAACTAAAAAATACTGAAATAAAAAAATTAAAAAATCAGTTCATAAAGGAAAAAAAAAGAGTGTATGAGTGAGAATACCAGTGGGAGATGTGGGTGTTTGGTCAGTACATGATTGGAAACAGGCGCCGTAGTTAACTGGGTCGGCACAGAAGGCAGAAGCTCTGAGCAGAGGAGAGCGAGTGGCGTTTCGGCTGCCGAGTGAGGACCATGTCTCTGGAGCAGCCAGCGGGAGAGAGTGGGAGCAGAGGGGCTGTGGGTGGGCTGGGGCTGCATCAGACGGGGCCTGCAGGCCAGGGAGGGCATTCAGCTTTTACTCTGTGTAAAGGTTGTTGAAGCCAGTTTCAGAATTCAGATTTCAAGATAGGAAAGGTGGTCATGAGATGTTTTTACAGACTCTCTTTGGCCTATTGGTAAATCTTTCACTTTTGGAATCGGATGACTCTGCCCGGGCTCAGAGCCCAGTGCTGTCAGTTACCAGTTGGGACTTATAAAAAAGTTCTTAGACTTGTTGGGCCCAGTTTCCTCACCTGTGCAATCAGGACCAAGCTACCCACCTCACAAGGATTACCTTGAGAGAGAATGTAGGTCAATACACAGAACAGTGCTTGGCATTTGTAGGTGTTCCATAATTAGGAGCTATTTTATTATAATCATCACTCATATCTTCACTTTTTCCAAAAGTCTTTCTCATTAAGATCTTCTGACTACTAGTTGTTTTTTTTTTTCAATGTAGGATGAATGATTTTTCTCTCACCAGAACGTTGTCCACATTGTTCTCTCATGTTACTCAGAACAGGACTATAAACTGTTTAATGGCACATCACAAATTAAGAATCTTGCTTCAGAATATAAATCAGTGTGTTTGCTTCCTTCACCCAGAATTCATCCTCCTATGGGAAAAATATACACCGAAATAAATAATATACATAGTGATGGTAAATTTTGCCTTCTGTCACAAGCTCTTTATTTTCTGATGAGTCTACACATTCAACATGAGCTGTAGGCTCCACACTGACAAACAGCCAGCAGAACATCATCTCCAACCCCAGTCTGTCTTTTCTCTTTTTCCTCCAGGGAAGAATCGGGGCATGTCCTGTGGAAAGACCTGTCGGGAAGACCGGGATGATGAGTGGATGGGTGTGAGCCTGGCCCGGCAGCCCACAGCAGACGGCCGTGTACTGGTAAGCCCTCCGGGATTGCCAGGGGTTGGGGTGGCGGTGTGATGTGCGTGACGTGGATCCCTGGGGAGGCTGGATGGCATGGCTTTGCAGTTGCCTGTTCTGGATGACTGCTTCTAAAGAGGACACCTCTTTTTATTTTCTTCCTCAGTCATAGCTGTTCTAGGATGCTAAGATTGTTGAAAAAAGGATAAAATGCATGCAAAAGTGATTTGTAAAATCTCATCCATTAAGGATATTTTTGGTGTGCATCTTTTTAGGTTGAGATACAACTTACTTAACTTGCATAGGTCTTCAGCATGGGTTTGGACAGTTGTACATACGCAATGATGGAATTCTTCCATCAGCCCCAAAAGTTCTCGTACATTCCTTTCTAGTAAACTCCTCTTTCCCCCAGGCAGTCAGTCTAAAAATTTGTGTCTTCATGGGCCACATTTGCTTTTCTAGACCTTCATATGAATGAAATACTCAAGTTTGTGCTCTCTTGTAGCAGGCTTCTTTCCCTCAAAACAATACTTTTGAGACTAATTCCTGTTGTGCAAGTCAGTCCATTGCTGTTCATTACCACATGGTACCACACTTGATGAAATACATGTTATGTTTAGGCAGTCATTAACATGGCTCTGAAAGTGGCTGTGGTATATTCTGATCTTCTGGGTGGGTGGTTTGAGGGAGCTGCAAAGAAAAAGGTCTTTGCCTTCTGATTTGGAATATCTTACATTGCACTATCCAGTAAGGCAGCTGTCAGTCCTGTGTAATTATTTAAGTTGGTCAAAATCAAATTTAAAATCCAGTTCTTCATTCACAATAATACCATTTCATGTGCTCAAGATTACAGAAAGAAAGCATTGTCATCATTCCAGAAAGTCTTATTGGACTCAACAGTCAAGGAATGCCTAAAAGCCTCAGAGGTCTTACTTTGTTCATTTTCTTCTTTTTTTATTTCTCTATTGAGCTGTGACACTGAAGTATTACACAACAGTGAACAGTTAGTGAATTTTTTTCATGACACACTCATGAGTCCTCATTAGTATTAGACGTTTCCCTGTGTGCTCCCTGCTGGGAGATCCGTATTCTGATGTCACAGAATACTGAATTGCAGTGCTGCACAGCGGGTTAAAGCATAGTACTGCAAGCCACAGTTGCTTCAGTGCGAGTTCGATCCCCCGCCCCAGAGGTGACCCACATGGTGCAGCAGACCTCTCTTGATCCTCCTGCTGCTCTCCTCAGCAATGTACTTGGTTGATCTGCCTGTTCTGCTTCCCACTCTGTCTCTGTTATATCCTCTCACTGCCCCTTGCACCTCTGGCCTGTACCCCAGTTCTGTATGCAAATAAATAAAATCTTAAAAAAAATAGAGATTAAGATGGGAAAAACCCTAGTTGTTATTTGTTAGAGACGTGCTTTGGCTCATAGGCTGTGTCCTGGGGGATGTAGGCTTCCCTTACGGATCTATGCAAAATGTTTCTCGTCCCTCACAGAGGAGTCCACTTCTGGTTCAACTTCTTCCTAGAAGAAGCTGTTAATCTGAATCCTGCTTGCCTTCTCAGCACGAATGAAACATCTCCCCTTGTCGAGCCCTTAAGGGGGAGAGAGAAAGCAGCTGGATGCTGTCGCCAGAGTTGTGGCGCCTCCCTGCTGGAAAGCATTGTAGGGTCCCTTGAGGGACCCTGACCCTGCTGTTTGCCTTGGTTTCCAGCCCTTAAATCACTGTCACAGGCTGCCCTGGGCCCTGTCCAGGCCTCTCCATTATGCAGACGTAGTGGCCTGACTCTGGCTGGACGGCTTAGCCCCAGGAGGGCCTGCTCAGGAAGGGTGGGAAGGAGCTGACCACCCATAAATCAGGATGGCCTGTGGTTGACATTCAGAACAGCCAGGGCAGCCTAGTGGCAGCCACGCAGGATGTCTCTGGGAGCAGAACCCTGCAGGCAGAGCTGCTCCTTGGTGTTTATCTCCCCCCATGGAATGATAGTCTCTGTGTAGCGGATAGCTGGTTTCCAGAGATGCTGCATTGCTGCAGATCAATATCTGGGGGAGCAGCAGGGAGGCTCATGGGGTCAGCTTAGCACAGGAACCCGAGAAGGCAGGCATGAGCGTCTGGGGTGACGGATCTGTGATCACCTCATTTGGACTCATCGTACACACAGCTCTTTCCCTTGTGTTTTATAAAATGATGGCTCCGTCCCTTGTACCAGCCACTCTGTGGGTGCTGGAGAAAGACAGGGGCATCCAGCAACATCTACCTTTTCTTGTGATATTTTTAAAAAAGATTTATTTATTTATGTATACAGAACTGGGGTACAGGCCAAAGGTGCAGGTGCGGTGAGAGGATTCACCAGAGACAGAGTGGGGAGCAGAACAGGCTGACCAATGAAGTACACTGCTGAGGGGAGCAGCAGGCGGGTCAGGAGAGGTCTGCTGCGCCATGTGGGTCACCTCTGGGGCGGGGATGGAACTCATACTGAAGTGGCTTTAGCTTCTTAGTGCTGTGCTTTAACCTGCTGTGCCACCAGGGAGGGCCCTTTTCTCTTGACTTTTAAAAATGTAGTCAGAGCCTACCCCGGGAAGCTCTGTTAGAGTATACGAGCGTCAACTGCAGGCACAGGGTTGTTCTCTAGAGTGCTCAGATGTTTTCATCTTGCAAAACGTCCACTGAATATACCTCTGTCCGCTACCCTCTGGCCCCAGGCAAATTTCTTGTTCTAAGAGTTTGATTGTTTTAGATTTCTCATGTAAGAGGAATTGTGCAGTTTTTGTCTTTTTGTGGCTGATTTATTTTATTTCACGTGGTATAATGTCCAGGCTTCATCCATGTTGTAGCATATGACAGGATTGCCTTCTTGTAGCACATGACAGGATTGCCATCTTCTGTCTGACTTCTGTTTCATTGTGTGACTATGCCACGTTTTCTTTCCTCATCTATTGCTAGATACTTGGGTTGTCTCCACCTCTTGGTTACTGTGGTACATACTGCTCTGAGCATGGAGGTACAAATAGTCCTCAAGGTCCTGTCTTTAATCCTTTTCCATACATGCCCAGAAAGGGCTTTGCTCAGTCTTAATGGCAGTTCTATTTTTATTTTTTCTGAACCTCCAAACTGTTTTCCACAGCAGCTGTATCATTTTACAGCCTCTCCAACAGGGTGCCAGGAAGAGTTCCAACTTTTCTCCATTCTCACCATGCTCAAATTCTGTCTTTTGTTTGTTTTTATAGTGACCATCCTATGGGGGGTGGGGCGGTGAGGTGACATATTGTTATGGCTTTGGCTTGCATTTCCCTGAGGACTAGTGATGGTGACCATTTTCGAATGTGTTGGTCATTTGCCTGGGTAGCTTTGCAGAAATGTCTATTCAAGTCCTTTGCCCAGTTTTAAACTGGCTTGTTTCTCGTTGCTGGGTTATCCTCACGAGTTTTGGCAGGTGTGCTATCTGGCGAGGCAGGGCTCATCCTCAGCCCCTCTGTCTTCTCTGGCTTAGACTCCTCTTTCATGAAGTCATGAAGCCAGTCACTGGTGACAGTGCTGTTTGGGCAAAGCTTAGCCAGGTTTTGTATTCTTAGGGCCTAGTTTGATGTTGAGACCTTATATGAATAATGCATTTGTGTCCTTTTTTTTTTTTTTTTTTTACAGAAGTCACTTTGGCAAATCTTTTCCCTTTTTAACTCTCAGCGCCTGGAGATGTCTCTAAGGGATAGTGTCTAAAAGTGTGTTTGAATAATTCAGGGCTCAGTGTCAGTGTTAAAACAATTAAAAAGCAACTTGGCTGTCATATCTTGTTGGTGGTTGAGACCAGTAGTTGATGGAAGGAAGCACAGGACAAAATGCTATGAAATGCCTCTTGGAAATGGCCTACTTCACATTCACAAATTGGAGGCCACATAGCCATTTGTTTTTTCTTTAATGTCTTAAATCTACCTCTCAGAGCTTTCTACAAAGACTAGTATTTGTTTTAAAACTAAAAACAGGAAGATGTATGTTTCATACATGTCTTGAGAAGTTGGCAGGTGTCTTGAGGGTGTGGGTATATGAGACTGTTCCCAAGGAGCATGATAATTGGATTCCAAGCTTGTGTTGGAATGGGGAAAGATTCAGTGTTTTTTTTTTTTTTCTCCCCTAATGTCATCTGGTGCTGATTTCAAAGTAAGGAGTGAGTGGAGGAGAATTGGGAGGTGTGACAGAGTTAGGTATGTTAGTGACAAATGGCATTTTCTGAGCCACAGACTCAGCAAGCAGCTCTGCCATGACCCAGGATGTGGGGCCGGGCTGGCAGGCTGACCTCTGCCTAGGCAGCCAGTCTGTTGCACTGGCTTCCAGTCTTTTCCCAGCAAAGGGATAAGGGGTGTAAAGGCAGCATCCCCAGGACAGGCACATCTCTTCTCACGCTGTCACCTTGCAGGTGACAGGCCTGGTGTGCAGATGGCACCACACACCCAGGCAGTGATTGTTGTCCTAGACCTGGGTGGGTAACACAGAATGCCCAGTTGCTATTTCTGCTTTTCATCAGTGTTGCCAAGGGTGAGACAACCAAGAATTGAGCGTCGTCTTTATTTCCACATTATTGCTCTCTTTTAGCACTTTGCCATTTCCTTTCCACACATCCGGACAGTCCCTGTCTTTTCCCCATTTCTCATCAGTCTTGTGTTCAAAGTCAGAGGACGTTTTTCATTTATTTCTCTTGTCTGTTTCCTGATTTTTTTTTTTTGTGTGTGTGAACTTTTTATTGTGCTGTATGTGTTGTAACACACATGCACATGAGGGCACAGATCCTTTGTGTACATCTTGGTGAATGTTCATTAGCTGAATATTATCAGACCAACTTTCCCTGCCCTGCAGAAGTTCCTTCGCTGCGCCTCCAGGCCTCTCCCAACTCTCTGACGGGAACCTCTTGGGCGGGGCGTCTGTCACCTCAGTTCCCCGCCCTCTGCATCGCATGGTGGTGAGGCTTGGTGCTACTTGGGGGCGTGGGCCTGAGGGGAGGTAAGAGCTCTGGCTTTCTCCAGGGCGCATGTGTGTGTAAGAGGGTGGAGTGCCAACTCTAGCACCTCAGGAAGGATGTGCTGTTTCTATCTTTGAAATAAATTGCTCATTTTCATCCTCTTTTATTTATTTGGGAAGAAAAACAATCCTTGTAACCTGAAATAGGAGTTTCTAATCTTTGGGCTGGTTCTAAGCGCCGCCCCCCGCTGCCTTTCTTGTGGTTGTTAGGAATCAGAGCTTGATCAAATCTTGCTGTTTCCAAAAATGGCTCTCCTATTCCAGCTCATCTTCCTTCCTCTGCTCTCTGCTTCCTTTGCAAAACTCATATAAGAGATTGGCAATTAGTAAAGGGTTGGAGACATTCCCTCAAGATATATATATATATATAAATAAATGTAAGGGTTAGGTTGACATGTGGGTGTACAGAATGATAATATGGGTTAAAACACATTCTTTTGATCTCCTAGAAATTCTTCAGAATTACTCCTTAAATGGCACTTTAAAACAATGAGAAGACAATAAACTGGACATTAAATGTAGTAACCCCTTCCTTTATAAGAGGGTGTTCCATGATGAACTTCTATCTCTTTTTATGGTCCTCCAATTCTGATTATAAACCATGAAAGTCCTAGGAGCGGAGGGCATTGCTGAATTCATAAACTAAAATGAACTAATTTGCCAGCTAATTATTTGGTAATTAGTAAGGACAATTAGATGATAATAAGCGATTCAAGTTTGCAGAACTCAAATTTTCTTTTAAAAAAAAAATCACTTACATGGCTGTATGGAGCGAGTATCTGCTTTGTGATATATTTTTCCAGCTCCATGCCCTCCAGCATTTCAACTTTCTGAGAAACATGCACCAAGAAGTTCACTTTTGGGCAGGAAATTAAGCTTGTTTGAGAAGTGTAGCAAGCTCAGGTTCTCAGTCTTTCTGAATATCGTCCTTTGCCTTTGGCTAGAGATGGCCTTGCCCAGGGTTCTGAGGGTGTGTGCCATGAAGGGGCAAAGAGCGGAGGCTGGCAGGCAGTGATTTTATCATGGACCTCGGGAATAACCAGACCTGATAGCTACCTCAGGCCCCCCGCTCAGGGACACTTCCCTTCCCATATCTGATGGTTCCTTGGCATCATCAGCTCAACCTTCAGGATGCATTTCAAAGACACCCATTTCTCTCCTCTCTACCACCCTAGCCGAGCCCAGATGCCTGGATGTCACCTTCACCCTTACCCACCTCCTGTCTCTAAATAGCAGCTGAATTCTCTTTTCCAAACTAAAAATCAGGTCAAGCCAGCTACCCCATCAGCTTCTCTTATGTGGGCACTGAAGTAATAGTCATCCTAAGATCTGCCAGACCATGCCCTGTCCCTTCTCCCCACCAGAATCACTCCAGATCTTTCCACCAGTCTTTTATTCCCCTTGACTCTCCAAGCTTTTCATGTGCTTTCTTTGTAGCTGATAACTCTCTCCTTCTGGAACACTTCCCTGTCTCGTCAGTATGGCTGATCTCCTTACCCTTCTGGCCCTTGGACACCCAGATTCTTGATTCCCTAACTCTGTGCTCGCTGTCCAGGTGCTCAGTGCTAGCTCCAGTCCTCAGTTGTTTCCATATTTGTTTATCAAGTCTTCCTAGTATCCTCCTTGGGTCTAGTTGTCTCACATTTTTTTCTTTTCTTTTTTTCCTTTTTTTTAAAGATTTATTTATTTGTGCATACAGAACTGGGGTACAGGCCAGAGGCTCAGGGGCGGCGAGAGGCTTCACCAGAGACAGAGTGGGGAACAGAACAGGCAGATAGAGGAAGTACACTGCTGAGGGGAGTAGTGGGCGGGTCAGGAGAGGTCTGCCACGCCATGTGGTCACCTCCAGGGCAGGCGGGAATCGAACTCATGCTGAAGTGGCTTTAGCTTCTCAGTGCAGTGCTTTAACCCGCTGCGCCACCAGGGAGGGCCCTCACATTTTTTTTCTTAATGTAGAAAGGTGCCTGGTGAAAGACGGGGTGGCTGGAAGAGAAGAGTATTAGGCCCATTTGTTCCTCAAACCTGCAGAACCACTTGGTACTTTGGGGGTCTGGTTGTGAGCTCTCAGCGCTGAGTTCCTGCTATGAACATTTTTTTTTAAGTTTTCTTTTTAAGATTTATTTATTTATGCATACAGAGCTGGGGTACAGGCCAGAGGTGCAGGGGCAGTGAGAGGACTCACAGGAGACAGAGTGGGCAGCAGAGCAGGCAGACTGAGGAAGTACACTGCTGAGAGAAACAGCGGGCAAGAAAGGAGAGGTCTGCTCTGCTATGTGGATCACCTCTAGGGCCGGGGATTGAACTCGCACTGAAGTAGCTGCGGCTCGCTTGCAGTGCTGCGTCCCAACCCGTTGCGCCACCAGGAAGGGCCCTGGTCTGAACCTTTTTCTGTCCTGTAGGCCTGTGCCCACCGCTGGAAGAACATCTACTATGAAACAGACCACATCTTGCCCCATGGCTTCTGCTACATCATCCCGTCCAACCTCCAGGCCAAAGGCAGGACGCTGATCCCTTGCTATGAAGGTGAGCGCTGTTGCTTTTCACTTGCCTCTTACCAATGTCATTGCCCTAATCACTCCTCACCCATCTCTGCGCCACCATTTCTCCCAGTTTCCAGACTCTAACAGGAGGGTAGAGGAGTCTGCCCTCTGGGATGCCTCTTAGAACCTGAAGTCCTGCCCAGCTAATGAGGAGGGGCCGGGGTGGGGGTGCTCCAGGCCCTGGCCAGCCATGCTCCTTTCTGCCACACAGCCCAAGGTGCTTCCCAAGTTCTGTGAAGCCTTGGAAATCCACTAAGCGTCAGCTGAAAGGTTTCCTTGTGAACTAAGTGCTGTGCAGCCTTGGGAAACTTTCCCTCTCTGCATCTCAATTTCCTCACCTGAAAATTCAGTGGTTGGCTCGAGTGGTTTCCACATTTCTGTGCAGCTCCCAGGTGGCCATTAAGTTCTTGTGACAGCTCCTGGTCATCATACGTGAGGACAGATGTCCGAGGCAGGGCCAAGAGCATACCTGAGGGTCTAATGGTTACATGATGGCAAGTCTGACCTGCCTTCTGGTGTGGAACACGCACCCTGACAGACACCTGAGAACTGGATGTACCAGATCATTGTTTTAAGAGCTCCTCACTCATGGCTGGGGGTCTCCAAAGGAAATTCTACTTCCTCAGGCTTCCTGCTTAACACATTCCGACACTAGGGTACTGGGCATGACCAAGCTGATCATGGTTCAACCTGGTCAGCCTTGAGCTTTGATCCTTCAGCATTATTTTCTTTAGCTGCGTGACGTGTACCTTCAGGGTTCTTAGCCTGGGTCGGAGTGAGCTAGAACCTGTTTGTTCTCTAAGTGCTGTGCCTTCCCTCCCTCAGTTTGTTTGTCTGTTTGGACACAGTCTGTGTGAGTGAGCCTTTGTCCACATTTCCTTTGGGCCTTCCTGGGGCTTTCTTGGGCTTCAGATTTTGTGGCCACCATGAGAAATGCTCTCTGGACTCATCATATGTCCTCAAAAATGCTCATCTGCATTTTTCCGTGTCATGGAGTTGCCTCAGGGGGACTCAGGAGTTCAGGGGTGTTCTGTGAAATGGGCCCAAGGAGAAGCAGCAGGGCCTGCAGAGGGCATGAATCCCTTGTTCTTCCAGGACAGCAGGTCTCCCTACCCCTGACCCTTTCTGCTCTGATGGGGCCGCATGAGGCCTTGTGTGTGCATATTGCCCCAGCCAGAGGAAAAGCTGAAAGAAGAGGATAATGTAATCAGCCAGAAAGGAGGGGTAGGCAATGTAAAACTCACAAATTATGGGTCAAGAATGTGTTCTGACTGCCTGAGAATTGCTCCCTTCCCCTCCCATCCCCCCCCCGCCCCCTGGGCAGAGGAGGGAAAAAGACCCTGGAAGCCGTCCTTGGGCGGCCGTGAGATGGGGCAGTGAGAGGAGCGCAGGGGTAGAGCCAGGATGACTGAACCCAGACCATTGAGGCAGTGGCCCCCGCTTGGGTTCTCCCAGGAGACAAGTTGTGAGGCAGAGGGACACGCAACGCTTGGCATCAGAAAGCAACAGGACAGCACGGTGAAGGCAGAGCCCGAGTGGACGTCCATGCGACCCTCCGCCCCCCCTCTCCCCCAGCTCACACCTGCACTCATCTATTAGTAATCAGTGTGAGGCCAGCATGGGCTGGTGTTGGTGTGAGGAAATAAGTTCTCACTGCATCTTCACAAGGCTCCAGAAAATAGGTATTTTTCCTAACTTGGGTATGAATGCAAGTGGTTGATTTTGGAACTTATGCAGGAGACACCAGCAGGGGAATAGGAAGGTGAGGAAGGACACGACAAGTTACCAGGAGGCACAGCGGGTGCGGTCTCAGGGGGGCTCTGGGGTCCGCTGAGAACACACCCTCAGAATTATCCTGCCGGAGTGGTGTGAACCAGATCTTTATTCACCTGACCTTCTGTCCTGCCACGTGGGTGGGCAGGGCCACTCCCGAGCAGGAAGATGTGGGTACCAGCAAGCTGCAGTGGCGCTGAGCCTTGGAAGTTGTGAGGACGCCGTGGAGAGCAGAGTGGGACCCTGGTGGGCTGCCGTGTGCTCTTCTGGGACAGCGAGCAGCTGGGACCCAGTTTAATCGCCATAGGTCACCCAGACAGTAAATGGTAGGGCTGAGTTTTGAGTTTGGTGTCTGACTGATCTCAGCTAACCATTTGTGCCCTTGCAGTGAGTGATGGTTTGTGTTTGCTTTATGGAGTTTAAATAATTACTACAATCATAGTGTCGCAAGCCAGTGAAATGCATGCATGCGTGTGTATACACATGCAGACCTAAGGATTCCAAGAAAGCTAGTTGGCGACGCTCACAAGAGAGGACGGCTGTTTGAATTATCCAAACATTAAGTAAGGACACAGAGGGAACGTGGACCTTTGGGTGTTGCTGCTCTCAAGGGAGGCCTTCCTCACCTCCCCCTCCTCGTGGCTGTTCTGGCATGGTGCTTGGCTGTGTGTGGACGTCTGCGTGAGCAGGGAGCAGCAGCAGGGCCAGGTGACAGGCCAGGTTCGGGCCTGCTTGGGTTCATGTCCCTCACTCACAGTAGAGTGGGCTCCGGCCCAGGTTTAGGGGTGAGGGTCTTTACACTGTCCCCTCTGGGTACTTCAGACATGACCCCAGAACACGTTCCTCATGGCTTCTGCTTCCAGAAGAGGCATGTGGAATAGGCTTGAACTGAACCTGCAGCCATAGCACAGTTAGACCAGCCAAACCCCAGCGGGTCTGGGAGGTCTGAGCAATGCTTGCTCTCGTTTGCCATGGAGACTTGTCGGGTGTTCAGTGATAGCTGACGGACGCTGGGCCCATCTCAGGAGCCCACGTTCTTCACATAGCGCTGGCTGTGAGATGGACACAGGCCTCCAAGACCGCTCTTTTCTGTGCTCATTTCTTGACTTATTGATGACCATGTGGAGTGTCCAAATGGCAGTGCCCTGCCCCAACCCCCTTCCTCATGGGCACAAGCACTTTCTTATCCATTCTCATTCATCAGCACGGTGAGGTGTAGGGGGTGGGGCATGTTGGGCATAAGCAAAGCCCCTTAGAACAGTGGGGGCCTGAACAGAAGGTTTTTGTAGTTCTTGGTCCAGTAAGATGGAAGGGAGGATAGATGCTCAGATTTTTCTAGAAGACTAAACTGGCTGGGTGGGGATGACGGCCATAGTTAGGGACACCTTGTCTGTGTTCTGTTGGTTTTGGTGATACACACTCCTCTGTGTCTGGTCTGAACAAAATCTGCTTTTCACCTTTATAGCAACTGTTATTGTCTTAAATAGAACAAAGATCTCCTCTAGGTGAGGGATCATTAAGGACGATGCATTTTAGAGTTTGCCAGACCTTTCAGATATCACCTAGACTTCTCTTGTCTTTACTGAGATAAAGCAGCTCATGCAGAGATGAGCTGCAGCTTGGTCAGCTTTATTCCGTCATGTGCACGCCCTCCAAAGGAGAGCAGAGTAGCATGTGGCTAGGAACACAGACTCAGCCCAGCCTGCCAGAGAGCAAGTTCTGGCCACCTGGTAGTGGTGTGACCTCTGATGAGTTATTTAACCCCTGTGTGCCTAACTTACCTCGGGGGGCTGTAAAGAGCATGAAGCAGTTGATACTTGTAAGTTCTCAGGACAGTGCCTACTCATATACTGTATGATAATATCCTATGTGGTAAGCAAGTGACTGATTTGTCTCCAAGAATAGTGTCCACTTAATCCTATTAAGTACCTGTTAGATGCTGTGCTAAGTGCCTGGTAGATAAAACCCAAGAGACACAGTTTCAGCTCTCAGGAAGTTTCCCATCTACAGGGGCAAATAGAGAGGGAATGTGTTGTTTCCAAAAGTGGGAGATGCCAGTGTGCGCTGCTGGGCCCCCTTCCTGAGGTCTCAAGCTCTGTGCACTCTCAAGGTGGCTTAAGGCAGGATGACTTAATTTTACTGAGACCCACGTAGACTCGGTAGCCTGTTGGTGAACAGGATGTGGAGTCCACTGTGGGACATAGGGTGGGTGCAGGGAAAGGGTGGGTCAGAGCTGCCTCTGAGTGCACCACAGAGACCTGGCGTGGTGCGTGGGGTGGAGCTTGGGGGAGGCCCACTCTTCCACACTCTAACCCAGCCTGTTGTTGACCCTCAGCAGGGAGGGGTGCTGTGATGCTGCTACTGCATTTGCCGCTGAGGATTATTGCGAGGTGCTTACAAGAAAGACAGGTGAAAGTGCCCAGAGAGACCACACGCTGTTCTGATTGTGGCCTTTCCTGGGGTCTCCCCGCAGAACAGTTCATGTGGTCAGGATGTGGGAAGGTTCGATCTATTGAGGACAGCACCTAAATATGAGGACACCTACCCAAAGTCTCAAACTTGGAATTCTTAAAAAATTGTCTTTGGTTTGGCACAAGGACATTTTTCTCATGACTTTTCAGGTGCTTCCTGTTTCTGGTAGGGTGGGAAATGCTATCAGAATATCCTGCTGGGAACCAGGAAGCATGGAGGGAATGGGAAACAAAAATGAATTCAGGACATGAAGTAAAATAAACTCACAAGAGCATAATACCCTGAAGTCAAACCACTTAGTTTATGTTTGATAGAACAGCATCATTACTACCATACGCTGTTTGGTTTTAGCAGAATGTGTGAGAGAATGAGAGGTTTGGTGGGACGACTGGTGGGGGAAGCTGTTTGTAGGTGAAAGCGCAAGCATTAGAAAACCAAGCTGTGAATTTTAAAACAAGATTTATGTATGCATACAAGAAGTGGGGTGTAGGCCAGAGGTGCAGGCAGAGGTACACTTGTCTCAGAGACAGAGTGGTGAGCAGAACATGTGGATCCACTGAAATACACTGCTTAGGGGAGCAGGTGGCGAGACAGGACAGGCCTGCCATGCCATGTTTGTCAGCTGCCTGGCCGGGGATCGAACTCATGCTGCAGTGGCTGCGGAGAGCTTCATAGTGCTGAGAGTTTGACCCCAAGTGCCACCAGGGAGGGCCCCCAAGCTGTGATATTTTAGGAATC